TAATCGTGGCTCCAAAGCTACCTTGGACTGCTGCTTATCATTTCCCCCATGTCATCATCTAGTCAGCAGTCCCCCGATCTAATAACATTTAGACAAGACCATAAGTACTTGCTCTGTTTATGAAAATCATAAAAATCATAATCCTTAATGAAAATTTTATTATTTTCTCATGCCCTATTTTAAAAATTAAATTTGTATAGTAAGAATTGGTAGTCTCAGAACCATCTGTTGTCTACTCATGTTCTTTGAAGGGGCTACTAATTAACTGAACATGTTTTCATACTTTTTAGGTACAGGCGTTAAGTAGAGTTTTCTAATTACAATGGTTATATTTTTATTTTTAAAGATGAGTACTTGTTTATTCTAATCATAAGAAACTTTTCTAGATTCTGAACTACAATTTTTATAACAATTTGAAAAAAAATTTATAAATATCAATATATTTTTCTAGACAAAATATTTTTAAAAAGAAAAACTAAACGTTAATTATTTAATAAAAAGAACTTTTAAAAAGGACTTTATGATAGTTGATTTGAAAATGCAAAATCTAATGAATTTAAATTAGAATTAAGCAACATTTTCTCACTTAAAATAAAAGTCAACTTTCCATTGTGAATTTTACTAATGATAGCTTTCTGGCTATTTATTTATGACATCTTGGTAGAGTCATAAAATTGATCATACAGTGACCAATGTAGAAGCAATGAAATTTATAATCAATCCTGTGTTGTTTAAAAGCATAAAGCCCAAATTTAAATTATTAAGGTTGAGTTTCTGTTATAATTTTATAACTAAAATGTTATATTGAGCATATTCCTACTATCAGTATCCTGGAAAATATGCACATCTAAATAGAAAGCAGTTAAACAACACTGCTAAAAAGTCATATTCTATTCTATTATTATTATTTTTCTCTCCTTTGTGGCCAACTCCTATCTATATAAAACATTACCTCAACCTTTGTCTTTAAAGTTAGGGCTAATGCTCAAAGAATGCATAACAATGTAGAGAACTTTAAATATTCTGAAAACTGAGGAAATATGAAGTATATGTAGAATGTACTAAAAAGAAAAGAAAAAAGAGCATCCTAGGGAACTGGAACTTGGCAGGCTATCATAGCAAATGACTAAAAATTTTCTAGAAAACTCAAAATTGAGAAGCAAGCCCATAAAGGTAGTAGATTCCTTCTGCAAGCCACCTAGAACCCACAGAATTAAAAGGAGTCATTTATTGATTCTTTGAGAAAACTGTCTATCTAATGAGTTTCATGCACAAAGGTGATGGCAGACATGGGGCAATTATCATCAATATCCAATGCTTGGAAGATGAAATAACAAATGCTCTATTTTCCCATTCTTCTTTTCCTGCAAAAAACACTGAGTATCTGCTATATTCTGTGGATGATGACCATAATGTACATCTAGAGTATAAGATAATGTTAAATCATGAGCAAAATATTTTTACTGAAAAAAATAAAAGAAATAATTTATTTTAATTAATATGATCAATGTGATAAATTATTTTCATTATACTTTTAATTCTTTAAACATGGTTTCCTCTAGCTCCTTGAACTCAGTTGCCTTTATCTGCTGAATTCAACATTGATGACTCCTCAGATACAGATTCTAACAATTCATTTTTCATATAATATGGGTCATACTTTCATGTTTCTTAAAATGTCTCAAAATTTTTGTTGAAAATGACATTTTTGGTGGGGGGTGGTATTGGGGATGGAACTCAGGGGCACACAATCACTGAGCCACATCCCCATTTTGTATATTATGTAGAGACAGGGTCTCACTGAGTTGTTTAGCACTTCACTGCTGCTAAGGCTGACTTTGAACCCTCCTGTCTCAGCCTTCTGAGCTGCTGGGATTAGAGGCGTGTGCCACCATATTTGTAGCAACTCTGGATTCTGACTTCCCTGCCAAGATTATTACCTTTTATTTTACTTGTTTAAAGATTTGCTTGGATTCATACTCTGTATTCTTATTTCTCTCTCCCTGTACAGTTGCTGGTGTCCCTTGCTATTTTAAAAAAAGTTGTTTCTATTTTTTTTTTTTTTTGGAGGGGGGTGGATACCAGAGATTGAACTCCGGGTCACTCATCCACTGAGCCACATCCCCAGCCCTATTTTGTATTTTTATTTAGAGACAAGATCTCACTGAGTTGCTTAGCACCTCACCGCTGCTGAGTTGCTTAGCACCTCACCCAAACTCATGATCCTCCTGCCTCAGTTTCCCAAACTGCTTAGATTATAGGCGGCAAGCCTGGCTTCTTAGGGACTACACCTGGGTTAGCATGGCTTAGTGACCAGGAAACAATTGGTCAGAGCCTGTAAACCTATAAGGCTTCCATCTTTTGTCAGTGCATCTGTAAGTGGCTTGGAGAATATGTTCAGTTTATCCAGTTTATAAGCTTGTTCTGGATTTTATTTACTGCCTTTCTCAGGCTTCACACTCAGTTGTGAATTATTGGCTTGCCAGGCCCCTTCCTAGTCCCTTACAATCATAACAGATTTATGCATACATATAACCTTCCAAACAACCAGAAATAAGCAGAACTTTATCAAGGCCCACTTTGGTTATCTGGTTCCTGAATCTTTATTGTTTGTCCTAAGCATTAAGACTCTAGGCCTTCCCTGACTGCCAGTAGGATCATTATTGCTTCTGCTAATGCCCCAGCACTTGGCTCCATATAAACTTCCTTGTCTTTTAACTTGACTGCTTTAGTAAGTGCTTTTGTGCCACAGAGCTAGGGAGCCAGTGGCTGCGGGGGGAGGATGAAATCTCTAAGTTAAAATGCCACACTCCCTTGGTTCAGTAGATTTTCTAGACAAATGTTTCTCAATCTGTTACATGTCTTTGGTCAATTCCCAAGTTTTAAAATTGTTCTTGATAATTCTGGTCAGTTTTATTGTTTCTTTTGGGGAAAGGAGTATTCTGAGCTCCTCACTTCATTCCAGAGGTCCATACAGACTTCCTCTTAACAACTGTCAATGGGCACATGCAGAAGGCTAATTAAAAAGCTGAGACCCAAATTCGCTCTTTACTTTTGCTGTTGGAAACCTCAACAATGGGGTAATTAATGTAGGTTCTCTCATCTTTAATATGAGAAAATCAAATGAGAGTAGATTCTTGGCCTAGTATACACTATGACTTGTGAATAAAACTCAAATAATATTTTGGTCACTAATATGAAAGAAAAGCACTCATAAAAGATTTTAAAGGACTGACTACTCCCTCCTACTGCATATGAGAGAGGTGGCAAGGATTATAAAGTGATCTCAAAAATGTATAAGCAGAACTTTTCTGATATTCTGCTTTACTCTCTCATATGAGGTTCCTGGGAAATTTAAAAATCTTAGTCATTAACATTGATAACCTAGAAAAAGAATCAATATTGACTTTCATGGCAAATTTTAAATCAATAGCATTGCTTTTTAAAATATGGTATTAGAATCACCTATAGTATTTCTTAAAATGTATACATTTAGATCTCATCTATATGCAGGAACTAGAATCTACAGGGTGGGAGGTAGAAATCAGTATTTTTAAGAAACAACTCAAGCAATTAGTATGTATCCAAAAGTTTGAAAATCAGACCCTTTCCGGTATCATTCCTAGCCTCACCCCTCACCCAAATTATAATTAATTATATGGATTAAGCACCCCACATTGGGAAGGTAATTCATATAACAGTCTAGGGAATAAAGCTAAAAGAACAAAGAATTTAAGATAACCTCTTTTAAGATATGTGCTCTCTTAACCTTAGTTTTCCTCTTTGGATAGCTCCTCCTTCAATTCATCCACAATATAAAACATACCTTGATGGGAGGCCCAGGTTGCCTCTTGCTTGGGAGGCAATAAAACTATTGGCAATGTTGTCACACTCATGCTGGTGTAAGGAGCAAAAGGAGATGTTCATAGATGTTCTAGCCTCATTTACTGATGGTAAAGATCAGCGATTTGGTTACAAAATCCCATTCTACTATTTAGAGCTCTTAAATTTGTTCTTGAGGAATCTTATGAAGGTAAAAGCCCTATAGTAATAAGTAGTATGATGCTTTGACAGCATACATCCACAATTTACAGTTTTTGTTTGGTTTTGCTTTAATTTTGGTACTAGGGATTGAATGCAGGGATGCTTAACCACTGAGCTACATCTCCAGATCTTTTTATTTTTTTTATTTTGAGACAGGGTATCACTAAGTTGCTGAGGCTAGCCTCAAACTTGTGATCCTCCTGCCTCAGCCTCCTGAGTTACTGAGATTACAAGCATGTACTACCACACCTAACTTTCAGATTTTAATACAGAATTTTATGCCAATTGACAACTTTTTTGAAAGTTCTCATGGAATATGCTAGTACAACTTTGCAAAAATATTATTGCTAACATTCTTGAAATTTTAATCTAAGAGAACAGATTTTTTTTCTTATTTATTTGAAAAGATTTAGTAATGTTCTAAAATTACAAAGCCTTTTTTAGGTTAGAATAAATTATGAAATATGTGAACTTGCAGTACAGTCAAATAAATATTAAGTGTAGGTTAAAAATTATTACCATAAATTAGGTATATATATTTTATTTAAAAAACTTCAGCCAGGTGCCATGGCGAACACCTGTAATCCCAGAGGCTCAGGAGGCTGAGGCAGGAGGATCATGAGTTCAAAGCCAGCTTCAACAATGGCAAGGCACTAAGAACTCAGTGACACCCTGTCTCTAAATAAAATACAAAATAGGGCTGGAGATGTGGCTCAGGGTTGAGTGCCCCTGAGCTCAATCTCCAGTACCAACAAAACAAAACAAAACAAACAAAAAAACCCCTTCAGTAATGTATACATATTAAAATATTGTGATAGGAATTTACAGAGTAAAAAATAAAAAAAATTACACTTTTGAATCAAAAATTTTTAAAAATTCAGCAGATGAGAAAAACAGGCTATTTTTACATCAGTTATAAGAAAGATCTTAATTCACAGCATTAACTAAGCCCATACCTATATTCAGGGTCACTGTCATAGGCAGAGTCTCTGTATAATAGCCCTCTTTTCAGCTCCAGCTCTTCGTCTTTCTCTGGGTCTCTCTCATCCTGAAAAATTAAAAAAATTTTCATCAACTCATTTCTCATTGCTTTTAATATAATTCTTATGTTTCTTTGGGAAAGGCTCTTCTTCTCCATTATGGAAAATAAAAGTATGTTTTTTATCTATTGTTATGTGAACTCCAAAATGATTGCACTTGCCTTCTGAGGCATGAGTGTTTGAGAAAACATAGATGTAAGCACGTAGCTGTGACTTTCAAAGAAAATGACTTATAATTGTTAATCATAAGCCAAAATGCAATCAGAAATAAGTAATGGCAAAAATGAGAGGCAAGTTAATTGAAATGAATATATATGTCTTCCCCTCCTTGTACAGGCAGCCTATTCTTCTAAGTTAAGGGCATAAAAAACAGAATTCCGAGAGACTGCTTTGAAAGTACCTATGATAATTTTATATAATCTAATATCAAGTATCTGTATCAACTACTTAGCCAATACCCTTGGCTCCTTGGTCAAACAAGAACAGAAATGAAGAGAACTGATAACAAGAGCAACTAGTAAGCACAAATAAATATTTGTATTAAGAAGGAGTCCATTCACATATGTAAGAAAAGAGCTAAAAACAGATTATGATGAAAAAATTATTTAAAAATTTTGCTGATGTCATGAAACTGCAAAAACATTATTTACTGTAAAAATGTGAGCAATAAGTAACAGGGGAAGCTTAAAAATCCCAGAAAACATACATAAAAATTTAGATTGTTATAGCTTCTAATTTTTATCATTATGAAGTAATTTCATTTATTTCTATTGCTGTTTTCCACACCCATTAACATTTTTTGGTCTGTTCTTAATATAGTTAAAATATCTTTTAGTTAGTGCTCAAATGGTATATATTTATCCTTTTATTTTCAAATGTTCCTTTAGATCTTGGAGCATAGGAGGAATAGACAAATTCTAGATAGAGCAGAGGGATTGGAGGGGAAGGGAGGGGCCAAAGGGTAATGAATGATGGTGGAATGCAATGATTTTCAAAGAAAATGTAGGAAGTACATTTTCAAAGTACATGCATAAAGATATGAATTGATGTGAATATGCTATGTATACAACCAGAGATATGAAAAATCGTACTCTATACACGTAATAAGAATTGTAAGGCATTCTACTATAATATAGAAATAAAAAAATTTACATTTAAAAAAAAGTATTAAAAAAAAGCAGATGTTGTGTATTTTTATCCAGTCTGGTAAACCAAAAGATTTGAGCATTTTTCTTTAACAGCTAGAAAACATAAAGGACTCTAATAAGCATAAGAGACATGACAAAGGAAACAAAAGGAATGGCTATCTTAAGAGTAAGAACACAATCACTAAAAACTCATGGAGAGCAGAGGTGTTGTCCCTTTAGATCTAGATCAAGGTTATCATGTAGTGGAATTCTGCTTCAGGAAACAAAAGACATTACTCTTGTGGATTTTCTCTTCAAGTTTTAACACCTTATATAAGATATGTGTGTGTGTGTACCTATGTAGATGTAATAATCACATATACATGCACACATATAATTTCTAAAATGTTGTGTATGAATGTAAAATACACACATGTAGGTCTCTTGTAAGTACTTGGCATAGACATTTTTTTCGTTGTGGTAATCACATATCACATCTTACAAGCTACTAATTGTATATTGATCTCAATTTCTCCCTTTAAGTATCTTAGAATATTTGTTGAAATCTGGAAATTTTAAACTAGTATGATGTGGCATATCTGGGAAATCAAATATTTCCTTGTTGATCTGCTGATTGTTTTATCCATTGTAGAACACAGGTACTGAAGTCTCCAAATATTATGTGGCATTTATTTCTCCCTTCCGTTTTTCTTCTTCTATTTTAGGGCCCCCTTTTAGGGATATGTATATATATATATAAATATATTTGTAATGGTCATATGTTCCTGATGCTTTGACCTTTTTATCATTTTACATTTTTTTTCTTCATTGTAAACAAAAATTACTTTTAAAGTCTATTTTGTCTGATAGTAGTATAGTCATTTTAGCTCTTTTATGCTGTTTGAATAGTGTTATCTTTTTACATTCAGCTTGTTTGTGACAGTGTATCTAAAGTGTGTTTTATAGTCAGAATATAGTTTGATCAAGTTTTTTTTTTTTTATTTAGCATCTTAATCTCTGCCTCTGGAGTGGTTAGTTCATTTAAATTTCATATAGTTACTTATGAGGCAAGAGTTACATATGCCATTTGTTGTTTTCTGTCTTTTTTTTGTTTCTCAATTTTTTAATTACTACCTTCTTTTGTGTTATATTTTCCAGGGTACATGTTTAATTCCCTAATAATTATATTTTCATGCATTTTCTTAGTAGGTTCCATGGTAGTTTAGATTAATATTAAATTTCCAAAGGATTTGAAGACTTTTCTCACAACTCCTCCTTGTTTTTGTATTGTTATTTTTATACAAATCAAATATTTATCTAAAACTTGCTCACTGAAATAGATTTTTAATTACTGTTTCATGAGGTCATATTTTAAATCAAGAAGGCAGAATAAGCAACATCTACTGGCAAAAAAATTTACAATTATGCTTTCTTTTATATTTACCTATTTAGTTATCTAATCCATTGCTCTTTATTTCTTCATGTAAATTTGAATTACGCCCACAGCCTCTAGGACTCCTTTTGGTATTTCCTTATAATTCAGATCTGTAAGTGATGGCATTTCTGCTTTGTCTGCCTGAGAATGTCAGTATCGATTACATTTCTGAAAGATAGTTTTGCTATCTTTATATAAATATAAATCTTAATATAAAGATATTTATGGTTGATGGTTATTTTCTTTGAGCACTTTGTGTCACCCCAGTGCCTTCTGGACTCCATAGTTCCTGAAGAGTTTTAAAATTTATTGAGGAAGAGGGATAGGTGATGAGTCCTTTCTCTCTTGCTGCTTTTAATATTTAAGCAAGGGGTAGAAAGAGTCCCATGAAAATAGAAGAGAGATAAATGGAGTAGAGGAAGGGGGTTAAGGGAGCAGGAAGGAGGGAGAGACCATAAATTATTTGTCCTTTAAAGTATACAGTTCAGTTATGTCTGGTCTTTCCTGAGCACACACAAAGCCCTGGGATATATGCATTGTCCTACAAATTTGTATGGTCTTCTAAAATCCCATGAATATGAGGGAACTTTTCAAAGCCCCTATGGACATATCCAGCTTTTCCTTTTAATCTTTTGCTTAATCTACTGTTTATCCCAACCGCTATCTCTACCTCTTCAAACTACTGTGAAGTTAAACAATTCCTTGTAATTATTTTCAAGAAATGTCTCCAGTGCAAATATTTTGCACTGGGAAAAAGCTCTCTTTGACTCAAAGAAAGACAAAACTGTAAGTGGGATCTTTTAGGGAAGTCAAATAATGATTGTCTGGGAATGGTCTTTGAAGAAATCCCAACTTTATTCTTCCACCACAATGGGGTGAAGTGACATAAGACTGCAATATGGACAAGGCTTCAATACATTATGCTATATATAAAAGGCTAGTCATAAAGACACATAACATATGATTCCATTTAATAAGCCGTATCCTAATGGTCATCTAGGAAACTCAAGCTGGTAGTTGCCTATGAATGGAGGAGAAATGTGGGAGAAGACAGAGTTTTTTATTTGACTCCTAATGGGTATAGGATATCTTTTGCAGTGATGAAAAATGCTTTGAAACTAACTAGATGTAGTGATGATTGTACAATTTTTTAGTATGTGAATTACTTTTTAAAATAAGATGTCTTTTTAATGGAACAATAGGTGACCTTAATAGATTTTATTATCTCAAGTAGACAGATACACATTTCCCCTGCTCTGTCTGGTAAACTAGATTTTTTTTTTTTTTGAAAGCAGGGGCACTTGACCACTGACCGAGCCACATCTCAGCCCTTTTTTAATTTTTGATTTTGAGACAGGATCTTCCTAAATTGCTGTGGGCCTCACTAAGTTAATGTGGCTGGTTTTAAACTTGTGATACTCCTGCCTCAGGCTCCTAAGCCACTGGAATTATAGGCGTGTGCCATTGCACCCAGCTAATCAAGAACATTTTACAGATGAAAGAAAGAGGGTAAAGAATACATTAACATTTTGGAAGTGCTTGTTATAAATGTTTAAAAATGTGATATACTAGGACTTAAACAGAGTGCTATACCCTATAATAAAGGCATATATACTCTCTATAAGTACACACAGAATAACTAAAAGTGACTGTTATGCTTGTTCTTAAGAAATATTAATAAATCTCAAATAATTCTAAGTTGTTCTCTAGCTGAGAAGAAATTAAGTTAGCTGTCAATAATAAAGATAAGAGAGTATTCAATTAGATGGAAATTAAGAAAGACATTTCTAAATTACCACGGAGTCAATGAAGAAATAACAATGGAAATTAGAAAATAAAGTTTCTTATTATATTCAACATAAAAATTATGGGATGCACCTAAAGCAATGTTTAGAGGGAAAATTATATTCTAAAATGTAAAGATTAGAATATCAAAGCTCAAAATTAATAACCTCAGCCTCTATTTTAAAAGCCTAGGAGAAAAAACTAGGACATAAAACTATTAACATAAGTTAATTTAACAGAAAAAGATCTGTCCTAGATGAATAAAAAATTTCACACTATTCTCTGAAAAAAAAAATAAAATGAACAATCTCTAAGTCAAAATGTGGGGGTGGGGATTAAAGTTGAATTACCATTGTCAGGTTTGAAAAGGGAGATGCTTATATACTTACAGATTATACAGATGCTTTTAAAAAGAATATAAAACTCTTTCAAAAATCTTCATATCATTCTATTTAATAATATTAATGAAAAATTCTTTGCAAAACTAAACTGATAAAAGTGAGAAAAGAAAAACTAAAAAAATCTGAATAACTGATGTTGAGAAATATTGAAAACTTTCCCATACTGGTAGATTTGTTAAAAGTATTTCTGATATAACACAGACTCTATTGAGACTGGCTGAGAATCTTTCCCAGCTCATTTTTATGAGGCCAGCCAAAAC